CTCAACCGCCCCCCCCCCCTAGCTACTTTTTGAATATCATAATGACATGTGCAGGACACCCACCTGTCTTAGCCAACCATTTTGCTCCTCGCCTTTTTTTTTCGTTCCTCTCACCAGACCCAGCCTTTTACAATTTTGGCTGCACTGCTTTAGAAACGTATTTCATTATCCTGGTCCTTTCCAGTCACCCAATTAGGCAAGACCTCAGAGTCAGTTGTTTTGTTCGTTTCTTTTGGGGGTTTTTGTGTGTTTTTTTTTGGGGGGGGGGGGGTATTTTTTGCATTTTATTTTGTCCCATTTGCTGATTTGGTGTCGTAAAAATGTGCCAACATGCTAGAAATTGTTATACTTCAAGAAAAACAAAATGAAAAAAAGGAGTATTGTTTTGTCAGTGGTGATAATTTGTTAATGAGGAATGATGATGATGTGATGACGGTGATGATGACGGCAACGATGATGATGCTGATGAAATGTTGGGAATAACGTGCAATTCAATCTTGGTGTCTGTTTTATTTCTTAATAAGGGTGCTTACCTTAGATTTCCTCCCCTCATCCCCACCCCCACTTTACAGACTGTCCTGAGGGGCAGGACACGACCTCCATTCCCAACTGCTCGCACAGAGTTCTCGGAGTAAGTTATTCATTGTCTGTCTCTGCTTCTTTCGTCCTTTGAAGTAACGTTCAAGTGGGTGGTTGGTAGGTGCTCTGCATGGTGTGGTTTGTTCCTTCTTTCTTAGCTAACATCTATCGTTGTCCTTACCTCCCCTCCTTCTTTTTGTTTTTCTGACTCTCTTATAACACCTCTAATCTCCGGCATTTATAAGACCGTATTGTGTTACGTAAACGCTTTCTACAACAACAATGTAAGTTCAAATTTCAGTGATAACTTTGTGTCAAAAGCAAAAAACTTTTCCCAGGAATTTCCACGTGTGGAATGAGGCATGGATGGCAAGACCGGATCTTCCCGCAGGTTTCGGGGGCTGGCAGTCATTTGACGCTACACCACAGGAAACATCTGATGGTAAGGCAAAGAAGAGTGAGAACTGTGTCATAAACTGCGACTTTTCTTCTTCTCCTTTTTCTTTTTCTTCTTCTTCTTCTTCTTCTTTTTCTTCTTCTTCTTCTTCTTCTTCTTCTTCTTCTTCTTCTTCTTCTTCTTCTTCAAGAGTCCGGTCTGAAAGAAACATCGGCAGTCATGATTGCCATTCATAATATCTGCTCGATTGCTCTCTAAAACAAAATTAATATTATTGTCTTGTTTGTTGTATTTTTTGTGACGTATCTTTTCCTGCTCTCAGAGTGATTTATTATTTGTGCGCCTCTGCTTCTTTTGCCTTCCAATGTTTCTGTGAGAGCTTCATGTGTTTGAGACCTTCGCTGTGGGTGGTTGGCGGGTGCCCTGAAGTGGCTTGCTCCTTCTTTTCTATCAAACATCAATAGTCCTTATCTCTCCTTCTTCCCAGCTTATGTTACTGTCTAGTATCACCTCTATTCTTTGACCTATGTGTTGCACGTGCCGTAAAACTCGTACTAAAACTGAACTAAGACCTTTACGTCGCTTCCTGAGTCATAGGCACTGCATCTGTTTGTCTCTTGCTATACACCTTTATCACTGGCGGTCTGACCCATGCTGTCTTCGTTCAGCAGCTTCTCACGTGCATGACATTCTGGAAGGTCTCCTGAGAAACCACTTTTTTGTCGCCTCAAGTGTATTTTCGACATCTTTAGTTAAAGTGCAGTGTTGGCAGCAGTGTAGAAGGATTGACCGGATCATAGCCGTTTAAAACTCGTGGGTTTTTTGTGTTCTTTTTTAGATATATGCTCTTTTTGGGACGGGCTCATTTAGTTGAAACTGTTTCCAGCTATTGCAGTTACATATTGCATTATTTCAGTTATCCAGTTGGCCATTAGATGTAATTATACACCGTACATATTTTGATCTTCATGTTTTTTGTCTGTAAAGTTACAAATATGACCTATTGCTTTTTCATATATTATTATGCTTTTTTAAATTTTGCACACCCTCTAATGACCGATAATTGCCGTACAAATAATTATTAATTCTATGTGACACCGTGTCTATAATATAGTGAAAATAGAATGGCAAAAACAATAAGAATCTTGTTTTAAGTGTCGGTGTTTGAGGTTAGGTATAGATTTTATAGAGTCATTGACGATACAGCTATTGTGTAGGAACGAGTACTTCTTAGATAGTTTATTACAAACCTGGCGGTATAGCCCACTCACCAGTTGGCGATTTTGGAAATGTTGGTGGGTGGTGTGTGTATGGAGAGGGGAGGAGGAGCTGGTGTCACCCAGGTACCGACGTTTATTATTCAAAGCCCCGGCGCTTGGATAAACATGTAGGTGTATGGTACAAATATGTTAACCTCCGAAATGTCGTAAATATGGACGCTGGCTATAAAATGGTTGACAAACACCAAACTACAACAATAATTTGAACTATATTTGACCATATGCAGTTGCAAACGCTGTAAACGAATTACCAAAACAAAAGCAAAAACAAACAAACAAAAGACAATGTTTATCAATATACTGTCAACTAAAATAACAAAACAACCAATTTGAGTCCCGCGCGCTCACATGACCGTATGCAGTTGGGAGAGCCTTTAAACTCTTACCAGAGTGCTCTCGTGGTCGAGAGGTTACAGTATTCGCCTCTCACTCAATAGGCCCAGTGTTCGTAACCTGACAGGGAAGGAGAATTTTCTCCTCTAAAATGTTCTCCTTTCCCCTTTCCTTCTCTCAAACAATATACTGTCGTCAACTTTCGTCTCCATTTTCTGCCCCCTCCTCCCTCCCCCTTTTGCCCCTTCCTCTCGGCTCCTGACTCTTTCTGCAGCCTTTCTACTGCTACTCGTTGGCTCCTCTGTACTGTTGTCTTTCAGCCACACCCCTGATCTTACAGTAAGTAAGATCTAGCACCTAGCCTTCTCAGATAAGGGCAAAAAATCTTTGAGATCCCGTGTACAGGTTGCTCACGTTAAAAATTCCTTGGTGGTCCTAAAATCGATAAGAGTAGGCTTCGGCCTTCCTCCGGGCAAAATTCTAAATTCCTACTAAACTGAAAATGTTTAATGTGTCCAACGCGCTCATATGACCTTAATATGCAGTTGCGAGCGCCGTAAAACACTTACTAAAACAACTACAAAAAGCGCTTACCCAACTGAAATTGAAAAATGTCTGCTCCTTTTCTTTGTTTCTCCAGGTGTCTTCTGTTGCGGACCTACTGCAGTGTCAGCCATCAAACAAGGGGAGGTAAACATGCCGTACGACGCCCCGTTCGTGTTTGCGGAAGTGAACGCCGATCGCGTTTACTGGTACTCTGGCTTCGATGGGGAGTTATCTGTCATCGCGAAAGAGAAGAGCGCGTACGTTTATCTCCCTTTTTTATTGTTGTTGTTGTTGTTGTTGTTGTTGTTGTTGTTGTTGTTGTTGTAACGGTATTTTGTTGTTGTTGCTGTTGTAACAGTGGGTTGTTGGTCTTGTTGACGCTGCTGCTGTTGTTGTTCTTTTTGCTGCTACTGTTGATGCTGCTGCTGCTGTGGCTGTTGCTACTACTGTTGTTGTTGTTGTTGCTGTTGTTGTTGTTGTTCTTCTTCTTCTTCTTCTTCTTCTTCTTCTTCTTCTTCTTCTTCTTCTTCTTGCTACTACTGTTGCTGCTATTGTTGTTCTTGTTGTTGCTACTGTTGATGCTGCTGCCGCTGTTGTTTTTGTTGCTATTGTTGTTGCTGTTGTTGTTGCTATTGTTGTTGTTGTTCTTGTTGCTATTGTTGTTGTTGTTCTTGTTGTTGTTCTTGTTGCTCCTGCTGTTGTTGTTTTTGTTGTTGCTGCTGTTGTTTTTGTTGTTGCTGCTGCTGTTGTTGTTCTTGTTGCTGATACTGATGCTGCTGCTGCTTCTGTTCTTGTTGCTGCTGCTGTTGTTCTCGCTGATGTTCTTTTTGCTGCTACTGTTGGTGTTCTTGTTGCTGCTGCTGCTGCTGCTACTACAGCTGTTGTTGTTGTTCTTGTAGCTAGTACTGTTGCTGTTGCTGTTGTTATTGTTGGTGGAGGTGCTACTGCTGCTGTTGCTGCTGCTGCTGTATGTGTGTTTTCAGTATGAGAGAACCTCCCTTTTTATTTAACATAATTATTATTGCTGGGCAAATGAATATGGGACAAGAATATGGAAAGGTGTTGTGTCATGTGGACAGATTGCCGCATACAAGTCTACATTCGGTAGCCTAGAAGTTACGCTCTCGAACTCGCAACCGTAAGGTCATGGGTTCAAATTCTCTCAGGGACCTGATGTTGTGTCCTTGGAAAAGCCATTTTACAAACATTTCCCTAGCTTTAGCTTTACCCAGGTGGGAATGGGTACGGTACCCGGCTATAGACAGCGAAAGAGCATGTCATGTTAGTGTTTGAGGGAGTGCGAGCCTCCGCTTGCACTGTAGACTTCCCAAGAAGAAGAAGAAGAAGAAGAAGAAGAAGAAGAAGAAGAAAAAGAAGAAGAAGAAGAAGAAGAAGAAGAAGAAGAAGAAGAAGAAGAAGAC